CATTACCTCTTAATCTGAGTAATTCAGCAGTTGATTATCTACAAGAATTAAAGATAAATTTAGAGAAAGCATCTGAGCTCGCTTCTTTATCTGCCGCGGAAAAACAAGAAGCTTATGCATATTATTTTAACCGTCGCAAAAGTTTGAAAGAATTTAAAAATGGTGATCTAGTATATTTACTTATACCAGACTCTAGCAACAAGCTATATGCTAGGTGGACAGGTCCAGGTGAAATTGTTGAAAGAGTAAATCCTCATTCTTACAAAGTTAAATTACCCGATGGGAGTGTGAGGCATGTTCATGTGAACAAAATAAGAAAATTTTATGTTCGAGCACAAACTGTGGGAGTGATATTTGAAGATGATTCTGAGTTTGGGGAAATTCATACCACTCCAAATAAAGGAGATTGCGCAGTAACTAGAAGGAACATCGAGGTGGATATTAGTCATTTAGAGGATAGCAAACAAAAGGAATTACACGAGCTCTTACTCAAGCACATCGCGTTATTTTCTGGGGAGATCCAAATAGCCAGCGTTGGTGAACATAGAATTCGGTTGTTACCTGGAGCTGAAAGAAAAAAGCCATATATCTATAAGATCCCAGAATCTTTGAAACCTGAAGTAGATAAACAGATCGAGGAATTGGAGAGCTTGGGTCTTATTGAGCCAAGTGAAGCTGAAATAGCATACCCAGTCGTATGTGTTGCCAAGAAAGACGGAAGTATGCGTTTATGTATTGATTTCAGGTTGTTGAATCAAGTAACCAAGCCTGTTGATTTTCCAATGGAGAATGTGACTGATCTAATCAATAAAATTGGACACGCGAATGTTATCACCTGTTTAGATGTCTTGAAAGGTTACTGGGAAATACCTTTAGAAGAAGAAAGTCGTGATTTAACATCATTCAAGACACATCGTTCCCAATATCGTTGGAAAGTGATGCCTTTTGGATTAAAAAAATGCAGCTTCTACTTTTCAGCGAGTGATGAATGATGCCTTAAGAAAACATAGTGATTTTTGCAAAGCATATATTGATGATATTGCTATCTTTTCACCAGATTGGAATTCGCATCTCAAACATTTAGATGCTGTGCTAACTACATTAAGTGATCTCAGGTTTACGGTGAACGTGAAGAAATGTGTTTTTGCACGTTCGGAGATAAAGTATTTAGGACATATAATAGGAGCTGGAAGACATCAACCTGATCCTGAAAAATTACAAGCCATTGAAATTATAAAAAGTCCTAAAACAAAGACTGCTCTAAAGAGTGCATTAGGCTTATTCAACTATTATCGTGATTACATAAAGAATTATGCAGAAATAGCTCGCCCATTGACGGAGCTTACGAAAAAGAAAATTCCTGAGATAATTCCATGGACTGATGTTGAGGAATCAGCATTTCAAAGAACTGAAACGTCGACTGTGTGAAGCACCAAAACTGTACACTCCAGAACCAGAAAAACCTTACACCATACAGTGTGATGCTAGTTCATATGGTGTTGGTGCTTGCTTGTCACAACGAGACAGCAAAGGCAGTTTGCATCCTATCAGCTTTGCCAGTCAAAAACTTTCGAAAACTCAGCAGAACTGGTCAACTATTGAACGCGAGGCTTATGCCGTTGTGTGGTCATTAAAAAAGTTCGAGTGTTGGGTGTTTGGATCGAATATCGAGCTGATCACAGACCATAATCCATTATTATATTTGTATAAGTCGGCACCGCATTCAGCCAAATTACAGAGGTGGGCAATGGCACTTCAGCGCTATAATATTCATATTTCTCATTGCCCTGGTGCACAATTAAAAAATGCAGATGGTCTTTCAAGACTAGTGGGTGAATGAAATAGGTGTGAACTAAGTATGAACTAATATGTTTTAAAACTTTGCATTAGTTACTTTCTTTTGTTCCGGAATTGTACGAGAGCTACTTTCCATCTGTTTTGAAAATCAAAAAAATTACTGGTTTCCATTTAATATTGCATTATAATAGTGTGTTTTGAAATAGTATTGCATATATGTTTTATTACAGAACTCCGGTATTGTATCAAGCCATCTGTTCATCTGTTGTGAGATGAATGTTTATTGCATTTATTTCAAAGTATGTTATTACATCATGTATACATGTTCATATATTTTGAATTAATTTGGTATGTGGTGTGATACAATTTAGTATACAATTTAAGTTTGTATTTGCTGGTTCAGTTTTCAGATTCTGCTTTGCTTTGGTGTAGCACAATCTTACCGTGGGGGTGTCATGTATCTGGCTGCGGTGAGCCAATCAGCTGCCTGCCAGAGCCCAGCATATGAGAGAGACGACAGTTGCATGTTAGCCTCAGAGGAGGAAGGTGGTAGGAGCGAGGTACTGCTCCGAGTTAACTATTATTCTTTGAACGTTAATTTTTAATAAACATTTCATTTTTTTAATGGTGCCTTATTCATCCGTGAAGCCATTACAGATTGATTTTGACAAAAGTTTGATGGACGGAGGTTTCCAAAAGAAACGTAATATCAATGGTAGTTTACTTTTGCAAAAATCACTTTGATAAGTTGAAATTACATAGTTCTTTTGTAAATAATAGGCTAGATGACGGTTTACCATTTTTTCCAAAAGCTTGCGAACTCATAAATACGACGGGTAGCTCGTTGGAGAGCTTCTTTGGATCTTTTCTTGGTTTAACTATGGGAATAACTAGAGCTTTTTCCCATCACTGGAAAATATTTGCTCCTTTCACACTCGACTGTATTTTGCATCCACAGAAAGGAAAAATGAAGAGCAAAAATTTGCTTATCATGCAGACACAACTCCTATGGGTAAGTACTAAACTAAACTCAGTGGCATAATAGCCCTAATGGGCCAAGGCCTGCAGTGCCCAAAATCTGCTTTCTTGACTGTGGGCCCCGGGTTTCGTAAGCATATGCCCTGAACAAGTGGTCAGCTTGTCGCAGGACCCCCCCCCCCCAGTGTTTAGTCCCCAAGCGAACTTGGGACTCATTTTATCGACAAAAATGATTGAAAGGTTGAGTCGACCTTGCCCAGCCTGGGAATCGAACTCAGACTTGTGGTGCTGCTGTGCAATGTGCTAGCCACTATGCCACTGGGCCTCCTATGGGTAAGTAGTTTGTTACAAATAATTAAATTAGGTAATATATATCCTTAGTCATTAGCGATTTATGTGGTCACTAATAAATTTTAAAAAATATTTATTAAAAAACATTATTAAAATCACTGTCTAAGGACATTTTACAGTTTAAATTAAAAATAATTACAGATATAACATTAATTCTAAAATGATACTAGCATAGTTTTACATTAAAAGCTACAAGTATGTTTTGTATGAATTACAATTATGTTTTGTATGAACAATGAAATTTTTATGCCTCTTTTTAATTTGAAAATTTTACAGACATTTTAGCTAATTTATATCAATTGCCTTCTTTTTAACATCTTTTCTCAGTTTATATATTTCAATAAAAAAACGAATGTTCCCACTAGACTCTGCTTCATCTCCCAAGTTGTTTAATGCTCCAACAATATACCTTTGAAGAACAGTGTTCTTTATCCTTATCAATTCTTTCTCAATAAGTTTCTCTCTGTTTTCAAATTTTCAAATTTAATAAACTATTTTTGTTATTCTAAAACAACTTCATTCATTTAGAATGTATAGAAGAAACCTCTAACTTTATTTCTTTAGTAATATGAGCATTGAGAATAAATAGGAAATGATAATATTGGTATGGCAGAATTTTTAGAATTCAGTGAAGTACTGAACAACAAAATATAGGAATGATCAAGAATAGACACTGGGCAGCAGAATTTAGGGCTCACAGAGACTGTATCAGAAAAATGCTAATACCAACCCTATGTATGGTGCTCTGAGCCATATAGGTTGAATCTTTTAAATTGACAGTTTTAATTCCTTTATAAATAAAAAAATTCCTTTCTCCAGATGCTTGTTCATGTGACAAGATTAGAAACCGTTTTTGCAATTTTCGATGCTTATGTTCAGTGAAAAGAAGAGATAATTAAGGGAAGATAAACACGTTAAGAGAAAGACTTCTAGGATAAAAAGAAGAAAATTCAAATAATTATGCTTTATTGTTTTCCCGAAAATTCTCCAAAAAGAAGTGTTTTGGAAATGGTGCTTTATAAGCATTTATTACCTTAAGACGCAATAACACGCCGAACAAATACTAATTCAGAAGACAAACAACAAAAATCAGCATTAAATTTTGAAAATATAATGCTGATTTTTGTTGTTTGACTTCTGAATTAGTATTTACTACCTTGTTTAATTTTTACACTCAAAATACTCCTAAGTTACCAAAATGGAAATTAATGTTGCTTTATAATATAACAGGGCAAAATAAAAATGTTTTAATTTAATGTTAGTTCTTAAATATAATTTCCATATATTACCATTACTTTAATGACATAATAAAGCTTCAAAATTTCACAAACGTCCGACTCAAAAATTTTGCACACAAATTGATCTAAAAACCCACAAAACGTTGGTAAACGTAATATTTAGCGCCACTTAATGAAAGAATTCAAATCCCCAAAATGGAAAAGTTATTTTTTATGTAATATTTTATGAACTTCTCATTTGAATAAAAGAAATAATTTCAAAATGTTTGTTTCATTTGTTTATATTATAAATAAGAACAAATTTAAACGATAATACATAAATACATATTTGTCAATAAATCACCAAAAGATAGTTCTACAAACTGCTAATTCACACTTAAAATAGCAGCCATAAAAAGCAGACAGAAATGTAAGATGAGGTAAATTAAGGACATCTTGCCAATTTCGGCTGAGATTAAGGACTTTTAGGATATGTTAGGAACCTTGTTTTAATAAATCTTTAAATTATTTATAAACTTACTCATAAAACAGTGGCAAAATTTGTAACAACATGTAAATGCTTGAATTTTATTCTTTTGATTTTAACAATGCTGTTATGAAAAATAGCAATCTTACTAATGAATTTTTGCATCATACCTCAATAAAAGACAATAATCCTGAAAAAGAGACATCCATCCCTTTAACTGCATATGGTAAGCAAAGGTATCTTTTCCCCCTAAATAAAAATCAAAAACATTATTTTATTAGCCTGCTGGTTAAGTGATCAAATATCAGATTATCTATAGTCACATTAAAACTGAGAATAAAGATACTCTCATATTACAGAGCAAACAGAAATGAGAAATAAATAAACTTTTATTTTTACACCCCACCCCAAAAAAAGTATTCTGCTTTTAGTGAACAAGTTGGCCTGTATTATAGGTATTTTGCAGGTGACATACTGGTCTCTAGATTAAAAAATAAAAATACTCTCATAATAATAGCTTTGAGAAATATATTTAGCAGCATTAAAGATACATTTTACGTTCAAACAACATAAAATATATCTTTATGCCAAATCATGACTAACAAATGCTTTGGCATATATAACATATCATCACATCTTTGGCATAAATTTTCAAGTTTTATTCCATATGCATTTTTAAGTTTTATTACACAGAAAGTTTCTTTAATAATTCTTGATTATTTATGTTATAATGATAAATCTTTTTCTTGCTTGTATACCATTAATTTACAGTAAAAGTTAAATTTTCATTGTAATCATTCAGTTGCTTATTGGTTCAAATAAAAAAGAAACAAGAATTTAGTTTAAATATTTTATTATAAGGAATAAAATATTTAAACTAAATTCTTGTTTAAATAAGTTCTTATTCTTGTTTAAATTGCATTATAAGGAATAATTTCAATTTTTAGAAGCATCATAATTGAATTCATTAATTTATTAAATTATAATTAATTTTCTTACTATTTTTCATATTTACAACTGAAACAAAGCTATACATTGTGAAATACAGTTTGTAACAAAGTTTACAAAAGGAGCTCGCACTATTTTAAAATTTATATTCATAATAGAATTTGTGCCAAAATGTCAAAAAATATACACAAATAAATAACATGATAGCTAAAATCTTACATAGTTAAATGCTAAATTAAATTCCGAGTACTTATAAAAATACAAAAATTGAAAATATACAGGATGAATAGGAAATTACATTCATCTTTAAATAAATGGTGAACATAGGAATGAACTCTCATAGAATACTACAAACAATCCTTATTCAGACAGATCAGCAGGTATAACATATGTGTTGGCTTTAAGAAGAAACAACAGCTTAGGGCAACCACTCAAGGCACCGAATGCATATAGAACGCTGTAGAATTAAAAACCAAATTTTACTGACAACATAAAACACTTTTTCAGAATCATTTACTGTTTTGTTGATTCTGTTTTATTCTTATTTTAATCCGACTATTGATTAATTTTCTCATTTCTCCAACTAACATTTTTGATGGAATTTTTAAAGCACAAATAAAAATACATAATTTGGTTTATACTTCATTACATATAATTACAATTAACTTTTTAAATGCTATTAAAATAGCATAATTTACAGACAGACCCTTAAAATAAATTTGGGATGAACATGAAGCTGGATTAAATTCTTTTTTTCTTTGAAATAGAAGGAGCTGATTTGCTATCACACTTAGCTATGACGACTGTGATGCAGTGTGTTCTCTTCTATTTTTTCCAACTTTAAAACTGCTTATTGTAATATTAAGTATGGCTCATTTAAAAACATCTCAATGAAATACTAAATTTTGTAATGCTTGAGATAGAGAGCTTCAAATTCTTCCCAATTTTGATTTGATTATATGCATTATGTGCTTAAATATTATAAAGAAATTTTTTTAAAAAATTAAAAATTTATTCATTCATCTTTAAGAAAATATTTTCCTTTTAGCCTTTTATGCATTCTTTTGTTTTTAATGACAGACAGTTAAGAAAAGATAACGTAAAAGAAAAGTTGAAAAAGTGAAAATTATTTGAACAGTATAAGAAATCTATGAGGACCGACATATCTTACAATATAAGATTATGAATTATATTATAAATATAGGACCTTCGCAAATTCATCTACATCATTTTCCTAAAGATGAAAATGGGTGGCATTTTCAAGTCTCTCCTAGTCTAAAAAAATTTTTAATGAAGAAATAAACCCAGTCATTAGTTGGTCTTTCCAGTTTCAAGTAACAGTTTCTTTTTGTTGTCAATTATTTGCTAGTAAGTCAGCTTCTAATTATAGTATATAATTGACATATAAAAGGTGTAGAGTTATTAGGTTGTTTTTGTTTTAAAGCAGGAGACATGAAAAATGTGCCTATCCAGGGCTCGAACCCTAGACTTCTCAAATACACGTTGTGTATGTTTCCAGTTACACCATGAAGGCATGCAGAAAGGAGAGAGAAAATATAATCCCCCTTTTAAAGGGTGACTGGGTACGAGAGGAACCTAATCATCAAATCCTGGTGGTGATGAATTATTGTCCCCCACCTTTTAGTTTGGGAGTAGTAGAGTATTAGGGTTTGTAGGTTAACCCTAATGTAGAGTCATTAGGGTTTTTTCGAATCAGGAGATATGAAAAATGTGCAGTGCTCTCACTGGAACTTGAACCCTGGACCTCTTGATTACACATCAAGTGTACTTCCGATTATACCACAAAAGCATTAAAAAAGAAAGGAGGAAATACCCTATAAAAGAAATAAAATGTTCTTAATGTACTGGAGGGAAATTGAAATAAAACTAAAAACTGAATTGATAATTAACAAGCAAGGATAATTATTAATATTTAAAACAAGTTGATGTTAAAATAATGTTTTTCTTGGATTAATGAACTCTGTATTACTACTCTCTCAACCCTAACTTAAAATAGTATAGCTTTTAAGTCTTTAGGTGGTGTGATGTGGTGTATTTAATTATGGCAAAGCACACGAGGGCTATCTGCCTAAGGGGAGGGATGCCTTCGTGGAGGACTTTCTAAGGGAAACTGGCTCGTATACACGTTACACATGGGGAAAACCACGAAAACGCCCATGCAGCCAGCCCGGGATTTGAACCTCGGACCGAACTACCAGTGTTCAGCGACTTTACTGCTCGGCTGCTGGTGGGCTTTAAGTTTTTAGGGGAATGTCCAATATGTTATACATACCAAATAATGAAAAAAATTTAGGACTTGTTCAATCATTGGCAGAATTTCATCTGGTCATGAAGAAGTTTCTTAAAATGGCCATGAATGGGGATATAGCAGATTCTTATTGTGAGAAAAATATTCCAAATGAATTAACAGAGCTTAAGACACTGAAAATAAAGACCACAATTTTGTCAAGAGTTGAGCAATGAAAATATCACCCAAAGATAGTGAACTCAATCTCAAGAATTGGGCATACTAAACCACATTATGTAATAATTAGATTCGTTGATATTAATGATAATATTATAAGCATAAAAGAGCATTTCATGTTCTTTTATGTTTATAACTTTAAATAGTAGTAGTGCTGAAACTGGGGGTGCAAATACTTTTCAATGTACCAAAAGTTACTCTGCTCATCTTTTTTAATTCACTGATATGGAAAATGATAAATTTAAGAAAGAAAATTAAATACTTGATTTGATAAGCTTTTAAAAAAATTCAAGTTTCTATCATCCTTTCATATTTTTGTTATAAAAACTTTATATCTAACATTATGCAATGAAAATTACGTACTTTTTAGCCATCTGTTCAATGTTATACCCAGGACTTGGATCATTTGAAAGCTAAAAAAGTACAGAAAAGTATTGAAATACAAGTTTGCATATTTGCTAAAACATAGGCAGGCAAAATGTGAATGATATTTTTACCTTCAAAGCTCTAGCAAATCTGTCTAAACAATTACCAACGGCTATGTCGATAGTCTCCCCAAATATCCTATACCTTCTTTCATTGTATGCTATAATCTGGGGATGAAACAAGATATGAATCAGATATAAAGCAATATTTCCAGATATCCAATATTGTATTAACATTTAAAATTCAACAGCATACTACAAACGGTAACATAATTGCAAGAATTTATAAGCAGCATAATTTGGGAAACACAATAAAACAGTAAGTAAAAGATATATTAAAATTAAACAATGTAGAATCAGCCACTGTAATCCTCCTCACAAGAAATTAAATTACCACCCGAGATCCTTACAACTGAGATAAAAGTATTTGATAAATGTTAAATTTTTATTCTTTGAGTTAAAGCTAAATTTGTTATTCAGAATCTTCAGAATGCTACATAAAATTTGAATGCACTAATTATTACTTTAAAAATAAATTTGATACTTTTTAATTTGTTTGCAAAATTCCTACTATAATCAGCTTTGTTATACAAACCAAAATCATAGAAATTAATGAACACCCACGAGAAAACTCATTAAATCCTTTCCAAGTAAAATGGCTGCATATAATTGCCAAAGTATATACAAAAGTGTATAAAAGAATTTAAATCCAAGATATGAACACACCTCTGACACATGATTCAAATTTCAACCATAAAAAATTCAAGAATGGCCCTAACATAGCTGTTGATAGAAAGAAAGCAATGACCAAAACTGACTTAAAAGAGAATGCTGGAAGATGAGAGGAAAAAAAAAAAAAAAAAAACAAGATGGAATAACTGGAGAAAACTACAGAAGTGGTATTAAACATAAGAGGTAAGACTTAAAAAAACCTTACATGCTTGCTATGCATGAAATTAACAATGTGATATTTCAACACTAATCAGTCATTAATCAATATTGATGATGATTATTCTGTTTCGTATATGATCTATACTATTAAAATCTGTGCGTGTCTGTTTGTGGCATTATCTTCTCAAGAATGGGGAGGGGAGTTGAGTTTCGAGAGAGGTACACCCCCCCCCCCCAGATTCCAAAAATTTATGGGAAGTCATTTCAACCATTCTCATCTTCATATGACTAGAGCTGCTGAGATTAATTAATTAGCTGAGATATTAATTAAAAACTTTGAAAGCACTAATTTTCACCCTCATTTTTTCGAGTGGCAACAGTCTTCCCACTGGAGATAAAAATCTGCTCTGTTTCGAAAAGCATTGTCACTGCTTGCTTTCAAATTTTAGAGTTTGTTAATAAAAAATTAGTAAGATTTACAAAATATGAAATAAAAAAATCATTGCCAAACTTTACAGTCAAATACCGAAAATCCGCCGACCTGAAATCCACGTTGGTTCTCAGATTATTAAACATTCAATTTATAGGTTCTGAAAGCTGCGACATCGAAAAAATACTTACCAAATAATGACATCATAATTACTGAATAATAATGAGTCAAAATGGAAATACCAAATTACTGATATAAAAAAGTTAAAGAAATTAAGATAAAATAAATAAGATAAGTTTTTTTCCCTCTAATCTGCATCGAGGTAAAAAAGCAGACGATTCACTCAACTCTTTGTTCAAGTTCACGATTTACGTTGTTGTATTTTCCAAGCTTGATTATTTCATTTCACGAGATTGTTTAGTGCTGCCTTTTTTTTTTATCTGGATATTTTGTGGATAAATTAAGAATATTTTAAATTTCAGCCCTTTTTAATACAATGACAGATAAGAAACACACTCATGATTTTACTGCTTGCAACGTTGAAAAACGTAAACACATTGCATTGACGGTAACGCAAAAAGTGCAAATTCTGCAAAAGATGGAAGCAGGTACTACTCCTTGATTTATAGCAGAATGGTATGGAATTGTGACACAATTGTGTATGATATATGGAAAAATAAAGAAAAGCTGTTGAAATTTTACAGCAACAGTGATTCTAACACCGGAATCCGAAACCGGAAATCTTTGTATGAGGAGAAATCATATAATACAATGAATAATATAATCAATTTATATACGTAATAATAATTTAATGCATATAATAAATTATTGCAATAATGTATATAATAATTTAATTAAATGTATCTAATATGCCTTATTCATTTTACACTTTTAGTCCTAATATTATGCTTTATCTTTTCTGTCCCGAAATCCGCAAAATCCTAAAATCTGCACAACCTCTGGTCCCAAACTTTGCGGATTTCTGGAATTCTACTGTATTATTATTACACAAGGTCATATTCTGATGTTGAAGAAAGCATGTGATGTCATTGTATGTTGAAAATTTTTTCCTTAATGTCAGCAATTTAAATAAATAGGTGCTGTTGGCAACTTTTTTGTTTCAGGTTATGATAACTGATATGGTATCTTATTGCCACATTAATTCTTATATTGATATAGAAAAAAATGTTGTTATATTAGATTAAATTTAAATCCTGACATTAAACATATACATATTAATCTGAAGTATCAAATGTTTTTGTTTCCTGGTTTGGCAATAAAAAAAAATCATTTATGAATTTGTTGTTCCTTGGAAAGAATTAACTAACTGCATTCATACTGAAATGTTAAATACTGAAATAATGAAACACACTTTGTTTTCAAGTGTAAATGGAACTTACAAGTTTTGGTTTGGTCGCAGCTAGCAATTTTGTATACAGTACTACTTTAAATTAATAGTTCATGTTAAGTTCACATAACTTATAAATATTGCTTTGGCACTTAGCCCACTCATCTCGTAGGCTTGCTCACTAGTTATTATTAAAATCTGACATTTAATCAAAGAAATGCTTAGAACTAGCCTTCAGTTCACAAAATATGTTTTTAGCAAGTAAAACAGTATTTAGTTTGAAAAGATATGCTAAGAACTAGGGATAATTTCTATGCTTTAGCACAACTATAATGCCCTTTAAATTACGCTGGAACACTGAAATAATCTTTCTAAATAGAGTTAATCTAAAGTAAAGTAAGTAATTAATACCAAAATATAATTCAAACAGCAAAGAATTTATTGCTAGTAGTTCGATCGCTTCGACAAAGCACGTCGAAAAAATCTACTGTCGGTGATTGCAAGGCACTGCATAGCAATTATATTAGGACATTAGCTTTTATCAAAACTGTTATAAAATATTGTTATAAAATATGTTCAATATATAAGCACAATGAATTGATATAATGTAAACATAAAATTTTTAATTTTAATATGAACATAAAACTGTAAATTTGTATAAATACTTGTGTTTATTTGATTGTATTTCGGATTTTATGTACTTTTAGAGTGCTGTGGTTTGTTTTTGTTTGCTTATTTGGTCCATTTTATATAATAATCTTGTATAGTTTTATTTAATCAGATTGTAATGAATGTAATTGCGTAATAAATTATAACAATAACAAATGTGGAGAAGGGCATTATGACATTATAAGATTATTATTTAAATTAACCAGTTATAAACAGTTATTTATAATTTCAGCATTTACTATAACTTCTTTCCGTTTTCTGACCAGAATGCAAACGATTAACCAATATTTAAACTGAGGGAGGTTTTTGACTGTGTTTCGGGCTTCGTATGCACGCTGTATGTTACTTCAGCCTGGATAGTTGTAATTTTTCGGCTTTGTGCTGCCAACATTTAGATTCTGACGCTCTGACAGAATTGCTGAAACAGCTTACCGTAGTAACATTTAATTGTGTAGCCCTTGAGTACTGTTCTCCATTTGACTTAAACTTGACTAGTCCTTTTAATTGCACCATCATGACAGCTCTGGCTGATATGGTATCACGAGAGAGTATGTTTATGTTCTAAATTCTGCTTAAATAAAAAGGTTATTTAAACCTTTTCATGACTTTGTGGTTACTTCAGACATAGCAATAATTCACTTCATGGTTGCTGGAGTTATTGGACGAATTATTAAACACCTTGAAATGCTTAAGTGACAGACTAGAGCTAATATATATTCACTCTTTCCATCTTATGCTCCAGCTTCCTTCTGTGCATTGCCACAAGTACGTCAATGCAATAGGTTAAATTCATTTTAACGTTTATTTAAGTATGAAAAAATACCATTTATGTATACATTATTTTCATTACTTTCACCTGAAGAAATAATTTAATTTGCTTAGGAATTAACGACTAAAATGAAAATTAAATATATTGTCCTTATAAATCACTAAAATATAAATAACTGAAAAAAGCATCATTTTCGTATAGAAATTGCATTTAAGAAATTTCTGAAATTGCAGTCATTAAAACTTGAAGATATTTTTAAAAAATAAAACACAATCACTCAATATAATTAAATGCATTTATTAGAAAAATGCTATATGAAATATAGCTTAAGAAATTTTCAAGTTACAAAGAAGTTGATGTAATAAACAAAAATTTAGTAATTACCTGAGTATTTCCACCACTGACATATAATACTGTTGGATTATCTGCACCTGTTATCAACCGCCCCATTTCAATATGTAATAACACAATAGTTAAGGCAGATTTAATATATCAATACAAAGAAGTTGATATAATAAACAAAAATATGGTTAATTACCTCAATATTTCCATCACTGATATATAATACTGTTAAATCGTCCTATTTCAATATGTAATAACACAATAGTTAAGGCAGCTTTAACATATCAATATTTATTTCTGAATTGATTTCACCCACAGTACTCACATGCATCTGTTAGCAACTTGCAGTTTTGTACTTAATTATATATTACCAGCAAAGACCCAATTCACAGCACAAGTTAGCCAAGTTATCTCAAAAACCCTGAAACAATACACAAATAAAAGAATTAATTGTAAGATAAATTTAAATATAGTTGCACCCTAATAAGGGAAAAACTGAAGGAAAGAGGAAAAAAAAAATTGAACTAATCAATAATTCAACTTATCAAGAAAAGTAAACAATAATTTCAAATCCTACATTTTCACATTCAGTTCGAAGAGTTCTGTTTTACTTTCTTACTATTTGAAAATAACAAAAGAACGAAAACATTGAAAGAACATCACAGCTTTTACACATACACACCTTCCAAGAAAGAATTAGAATCATAAAGAACATATATCAGTTTCCTTGTTTGAATTAATTGTAAAATTAATGTCTACGGTCTTTGGGCAGGTTCCTAGATCGCTCAGATTACTTACACATGAAATCGTGTTCTTCTAATTCTATTAATTTTTCTCTTTTTCTAGCTGATATTCTCGAAACTGAAAATTAACAGAAGTATTATATTTATCACACACTTCTGAAACTCATTCTATTATTAACACGTTTTCTTCACATTCATAACTACCAAATAAATGTTTTCTCCTAACCTGTTTTATTAACAAATTCTAAGGCACTATTTTCTACAGGATATTTTGTTCTTTAAGATTGGGGAATTTTGATCAGATTCAGTTGGTGAGAGTCTCATTTCATATTTTATTCCCAAATTCATAGATACATTCACATAAATAACAACAGTGAACTAGTTCCTGTTTTTAAATCAACTTATATATTGCAAAACTGTATCAGAAAATTCTAATTATTCTATATGCTAGTCACTTTTTTGTTCATATACCACATATGCTAATATGCTTGAAAAATCTGTTTACGGAATAGACTTTTAAAATTTTTCAATTCTTACATGGATCCTAGCAATAAACAAAAAATTATAGGGATCATCTAACACTGCCAGAAATAGCACTAGCCACATGATGTGCCTAGATATTCTAGCAGAGATACCATACTTATGCTTATTTGCTATCGACAATTAAACACAAAATATAGTGATGTGCAACTGTGTTTAATCCTTTTTTTTCTATTGTGGTCAATGTATAAAGGTAAAATTTCCATAAAAAATATGAAACAATAAAAATTTTTTCCCTATTTCAATTCTATATCTCAAATTGTAGATAAAAACCAAGTTTTTTAAACATCATACTTGTAGTTTCATTTTTCGTTGCATTTGAATTTTGATGGTATTTTTCAAATCAATGCCAAAAATAATTTCACTTTGTTACATTAACAGTTAAATTTTTGTTCACTTCTTCAAAAAAAAAAAAAAAAAAAAAAAAAAAAAAATGTTACAATTTTATCTAAATTTTAAAGCTCAGTTCATTAAGTTTTTGTTACTTCCAAAAAATATTAAATTTTTTAAATCTGCATATTTAAAATTACGACTGAGATCGTGACCTTCGAGAAATAAAGCCGTCCAGCTCTCTTGTGACATCACGGTGAGGAGTGCGAAGAAATCTCTCTCCTGCATTCGAAGCGAGTGAAATCACAGCACGCTACTTTATTAATGAAAGCTAATTTTATGTTATTCTGATGTAAAGTAAATAGGAGATTATTAAATAAATGATACTATCTTAACATTTATTATATATCACACTTTAAGACTTCAGATATCCGAGCTTATTTTTTTTAATGCTTGATAAAAATTTTCACCTGGATGATCAATAATTATTTATATTAGTCTCATTTTATTCTCCATAGTTTGGATAAACTTCCAACACTTCATAACACGAAAATGTTAAGCTTTCGAAATGCAAACAAAACATTGCATATTATTTTTCATTCATATGTAAACATGGAAAAATATGAATAAAAAGAGCATTTTACAAGCAGGATTGTAAAATGCTCTTGTAAATTTATTTGTAAATAAATTGTAATTTGTAAAAAAATTTGAATGTAAATTTGATTTTTTAAAATAATATATAATTTTCTTGAGTATGGCGATAAAATGAAAGAATTAGCATTTTTGGTTATTACTTTTATTTTTTTTTAAATTTTAGTGTAGAAGATCTTTTATAATAAACTAAATATTAAAAAAGGAATATTTCATAATTTATTTATTGGATATAAATACATTAAAATTTATTTTTAATGATAATTTAATGTCAACATGGTTTTAAACTGTCAGATGGTGTTATTGTTATTATTAAAATAATTATTAAACTTGCAGTGATCCAGATTTTTACAGAATAAAAACCAAAAATCTATTTTTAAACTGTCACAGAAAATTATTTTACTTTAATTTTGCCGACTGTGTTTATTAAACACTTTTTTAATTGCAATATGAGTTCTTACTATTCTATATTACTCTTTAGTGAAATCTTGATATGTCCATGTTAGAGTTTATGATCAAAATAGTTAATTTTGCAGCTCTCTACAGTTTTGATTCTTTGGATCACTTATGTGTATCCTTAAGGAATTGTAAAGGGGAAAAAATAACAACTCTCTAAAATTTTAATAGACAACATTTTGAAAGGAACACACTGCAGAATTATGTTTGTATGTTTTAAATTGTAAAATATGCAAGGTAGTTAGCCGAGGTTCCCACATCTCGTTACTGATGCACACGTGGTAGAGCCTATATCATATCAGGAAAGTACAATGATAGTATAGGATACCGAACGTCCCTTGCAAAAGCACTTCACTCTGCCAGTATATTTAATCTTTTTTAATTGTTTATTCTACTGCATTGATTTAAAGCATCATATACTGTATAGCTTTTCAAAAATCTAGCATTTTGCTAATGTATGATGTTTAATTAAAAAAACGTAACAGCTTTTAGGGGAAAAAAAAATTCTAAGCTTTATAAGTAACTGGTGTAACAATATCATTTTCAAGTTTTGTTTATATATTTTTAAAAATATAATATTAATTACAATTTTCACAATAATTTTGAAAATATGGCAAAAAAAGATAAAGTGAAAAACACAAATTTGAATTTTTAAATGAAAAACATTATTACTTTTAAATCTTTAAAACTATCATGACAAGTACATTAAAAATAAAATTGAAATAAATTAGATATTACAAATCATTTAATGCTATATGATTAATATATAATCATAATGCAGTGTTTCAGCAATATATGAAACAAAATTTACTATACATTAAATAATCCTGTAGTATCATGGACTTAATTAATTTATTGTTTACTTTTACATTAGTTATTGTTTACTTTTTTAATGTTTTACACTAGTTTTTCAGAGGAAATCACTTTGGCTTTAAAAGCAGACATATTAAACGTATCGAATATTTAATCCAGTTTTCTTTAAATATCAAAAAAGTCATAGTAATGAAACCTCACCGTGCTGTTTTTAGTCGGAATGAAGTCCTTCCGTTTTATTGCACATATCCACTTTCACACCTGCATCAACAGGAAAAGAGAAAAAAATGTATTGTAATTTCAGTTACATTGCGGCACTGAACAGATGTAAGACATTATATTGTTTCTGGAACAACCCACAAATTGCAAAAAAACTTAAATTTAAAGTGTCCAACTACGAAAAAAGCACGGTATATACCAAGATTTTAGGTTAATAATTGCAGTTCAACTACTTCTCTAGTAGCAATGGTGACTAACAATAACCTTTGACCCAACACTGTCCTCAAACCTAAAGAAGGGTACACTTTCTGTACTGACATCACGTGCTCTACGTCACTGAGCTGTAAGGCCTTGTTCTCGAAGGCCACATTGAGATACATACATATATTTACAAGCTGTTTTTTTTAATGAATTCTTTTAAAATTTCATTCATTGCACACAAATCTGACATTAAAGATCATCTGCCATATCAAAGATTGAGAATTTGAATTTAATACCTGATTAAATCAATCTGCTAACAGAATAATATAATAATAATGAAAAAATACTACACTAACTGAACATTTTCTTTAAAATTTGTTTGGAACTGTGCTGAGATAACAGTTACCAGGAGTGTCTTTATTTATAGATTATTTAAGATATTTAAAAAAAAAAAAAATGGTGACAGGGAATATGTATATGTCTCATGGCAATCTCCACATGGCAACCATCTCTAAAGGCAAGTGCATTTCTAAGAAAATAATTAAAAATTATCATTTAACAATCTGAAAATTTCTAAATTCTATCTAGTATTTCAAAAAAGAATTCAATTTTTTTTCATTTAAAAAAATTTAAAATATATAAAATCATATAAACACTTCAATTTGCATTAAATAAAAATTAATTTAATATGATATAGTATCTGCACCTCGTGTTTTGGAATTGAAAGCTCTTGTGATATATTAATGTAATGTTAGTCCATCTTTTGCACAAATGACAGCTATCTGGGTATATTATCTGCCAGTTTTTGTTAAGTAACTGCAGGAATTGACTTCCAGGCATCCACAGCAGCTGAAATGAGTCCGGTCACAAAACATGGGTGATATTAATTACATATTCTATGTTCTAATTTAGTCTATAGTAGAGATGGATGATCCGCTCTAGAACCGATTCACTTCACTAAATGAATGATCATCACTCTGGTGAAAAAGGAATGGCAGTTCTTTAACAGTTCACCAAGACCTATTGTTGGGAAGCATGCTAAAAATTTGATTCTTCTTAATGTAAACACCAGTAGTCTTTTCTTTATTATTTACCAGAAACATCTCTGACCTTTTTTAAATGTGTGTATGTGTGTTATGTATATTCATTTTGCCACAAAGCCATTTTTATATATCATGTATATTTTTCATTTTGAGGTTACAGCCCTCTTTCCCGTCCTCATTTTTTTAGCATTGTTTCTCCTGCTCTCGAGCGACCTCTTAAGTGGTACACTTCTCGGCCAAGGGGAAACGAGACCTTAGGTCGACGGAGCTTTATGTCTGGTACGACCAAGTAGGAGCAAGTTCCTTCGGCAAGTCTCATCCGACCCTCAGACATTATGTATATATATGTGTGTGTGCTAAAACAAAACATTAAACAAACCAACACATCTCAGTGAAATTGACCACCCTGTTTGCAAATCGATGGAGTTTTCATCCCCATCTGGCAGTATGAGGATCTGTTTAAAGTATGTAGTTTATAGGAACTAGTTCCTCGGATTCCCAGCTGTCAGTGCTCCAGTGCTAGTCACAGATCTAGGTCCTTCGGAGTTGTGATTATTCACACTTTTCATCACTCCTACTCTAGCCGCCAATCTGATTTCAACAGTCTTCATTATTTGCTCTTTTCAATCAATCCTGCTCTAGCCACAAATCTGGCTAAATCTTTTTCTGTATAAGCGAATAATTGTTTTTCAGTGCTTTTTAATGCTTTTTAATTAAATTTAGATAACCAAATGAACTTATTCTCCAAATCAAACTGTTTGAAAATACAGCTAAACTGCTAATAGTGTTTTTCTTTTAATTATAATACAGGTTATTTCTACTTCCTCAGCATTTTTTAACTGCCATCAGATTAACTGTAATTTTGAGTATCATCCCCAGTATTCCCAGCTAACTAATTGATATTATTCCTGGTATTAGCCCAGTTATGGAAGTGTAATATATTAGAAACAATTGCATAACTTGTTTGATACATATATTATTTATCACTTTTTATGGCATAAAATACATTATAAAATGTCATTAAGATGCTCAGATAATATAATTTTAAAATTATTCACACTTTTTTCACATCAGAAATACTCTTTTATAATATCAAAGATGCATAGGTCTTACTTATCAACAACTACAATAATAGGCTCTCGCATTTCTAATATTTATATATTACAGACAGGTGATGGAGAGTGGAGACTCCTAGCAGCTACTAGAGCTTAGCAAGAATTATCTCTGCCCTCATATTAGGAGTACATTGCACTAAAAATAATTTTGACATGGCCAGACAAGAGCAAGAGTATATAAATGACATATTACATATTTTTCCTCCTAGTACTTAATGAACAGTTTGGTCTTACAGAAGTTAAGTGTGCTTTCTAACTAAACATGCAACTTTAGAGCATAATATGTAAAATAACACTAATTAAATTAAAATTACACTAAAACTAAAAATATTTCTCACAGATGCAATTTCTAAGTAATTCCTATGAATAAGTAACTGTATATTTAAAAACTATTCAAGAAAAACACAATCAGTGGACAAGTAGATAAGTCTGCTGCACACAGGTAGCTAATTGTTTGCTTGCTTTAGTGTTTGGCGAACTGACTGGCTGCATGACAGTTTTCAGTATTTTCTTTACGCCAAACACGAATAATAGCCAGTTTCCATTAAAAATTATTGATGAATGTTACTAATTTAGAATGAATACAATAACTAATACAAAAAACATAATTTTGTTAGCATATTAAACACAGATTTTGAGAGCTAATAAGTTGTGAAAAATTAAAATATTACCTTTTAAATCAGCGATTCTCAACCGGTGGTACGCAAGAGAAAAATAAGTAGTACGCAAAAGAAAACAAAGTAATTTTAACTATAAATTCAAAAATTTTGTGAAGAAAAAGAAAATAGCTAGAAATTTTCTGTGATCGAACTCTAATGCACTTGTTCACTTTTGGCTGAAAAAAAGAATTTAAATGCATTCCAAATAAACCTGTTAAATTTTTATTGTCCTTTCTCTGCAACCTATTTGTGTAAATAAGTATTTCTTTTATGTTTTATTTAAAACGAAATACAGAACAAAATTAAAATTGGATCCTAATTTATGTCTAAAGTCAAGTGAAACAAGACCAGACATAAAGAAACTGATCTCTCTTAAACAAGCCCACAAAATTTCACACTAAATTTTAGAATTGAGGTATTATAATTTAAATTTTGATAATTAAAATGGCAACCAATTTTTAATTTAATATATTTTTATGTGTGCACATTTAATATAGCCAATAGGTTGTACGAATGGCATAATATATTTTGTTTTAATATTTCTATTGAGAAAGTAAAAAATAATCGTTGTAAAATGTAGTGGTGCTACTAAAGTTTTTAAATTTTTGCTTAGATGGTCATGATTTTTGCTTAGTCAAAAGGTTGAGAACCCCTGTTTTAAATTGTTTGGCAGACTTGTCTATAGAAGCAGTCAAAATAAAAACCAAGTGAAATCCACAGATGAAAAGAGTCTAGTGAAAAAAATTCCTGTGCCAAATTGTATTAAATATATAAATACTTTCCTATGAAGATACGTATGTTCTACATATTGCACACTTTTAGTTACAAGAAATTTCTAACAAGTCTTACTATAAAAACTTGAAAAGGATATGACCAATACAATGATTTACACCAACTATAGGTTTATTCCATAACTGGGCAAGAGTACGAGCAACAACAGCAACAGATACCAAAGGCGCTGCAATGCCAGGACCTGCAATATTATATGCAATCAATGTACATATCATATGAATATTTAATAAACCTTTTAATAGAATTAAATATACAGTGTGCAAAACTTAAGCAACTTTTCTGATTTTTGCTGTAATTCTGGGGAAACAAAATCACCAGGGAGACATGAAAGTTATACTACAGAGGCACAATGTAGTACTTGATGAATGAGCAGAGGATGAGGAAAGTATAGTAGAAATACATTATTATATTAGCTACATTTGTATCATTACTTATTTTAGTCTTTGTTTTCATAAACTTACATTCATTAAGATAACATTTACATTATTAAAGAAAGTAAGAAAACAAAATATCTTAAATTATAAGCTAGCATATGCAAATGACAAAAAATCTCATGACCTGATAAAGCCGGTTATGCCACTCAGAGGATTAAATAACAGTAGTTTGAAAAAAAAAAATTAGCTCTCTGCTGCCTTTCAAGCACTTAATATTAAAGTATGGATATAATTTTTTGAAATATTTATAATTTATGCTTTTAACTGTCTAGCATATTTTAAAGAAGATTTATATTAAACAATTATTTTATTGGTTTTAAATTATTTGCTAAAAGAAGCATTATCATCATTATAATTATTAAATCACAATCTAAGGAAATTTGGTAATCTTCTGCTATCGGTACCAGATTAAGAATTGTGGATATGCATGTACATATGTATATGTGTGAATACACACATACACATTCATACATACATATACATGTGCATACAATACATACATTTCTGAATCTGATCCAGATAACAGAACAGTATCGAAAATTTTGCAGTTTAAAATAACATAATCGCACATAAAATTTATAATTGTGGCTTTAAAAAGTTACTAAAATAATTACATTAAAAATACAAAATGACCATAACTCTACAAAGTATTTGTTTTTTTAATCTGAAAATTTTTCAGATGGTTCAGCTTATTTAGAGCTATTTCCATCTCTTTCACAATATTTCTAAATTCATTGCTTTGACAAATCAATGCTTCTATCTGCATCACCCCTTTGCTACATGCTAATTTACAGTGTAAGGGGTAATAATGTATCTTCATGTAATCTTCAATAATACCATAATACCTTTGGAAAAGAATTTCCTTTTGCTTTATGCAATCAATTCCATTCTCAACGACTCTTTGTTTCATCTCTGAATTTTTATTTACTTCATAAATTTTGTTGCTCTAAAATACTGCATGTATTAGCTAATCTTATTATTGCTAATCTTATTTCATTATTAATTTCAATATGGAGAATAAATTGAGAAAATTATGAAATGATACAATGCATATACAGATACCCAAACTGAATCTTTTAAATTATCAATTTTCAGTATCTTTAAAATGAAGAAATTCTTTTCTACAGATGGTCCATATGACAAGATTAGAATAATTTTTGCAATTTTCCATATTTTCGACTAATGAAAATCCCAACATAAAAAAAAAAAAAAAAAAAAAAAAAAAAAAGAGAAAATGTACAGGAAAGATAAATGTGTCAAGAGAAAGACATTTGGAATCAAAAAACAGAAAAGGTGCTTCCTTATTATCACAGCCCCATCATTAAAATGGCATCAGAAACCTTCTAGTTACTGAACTGGGCAAAAGCAGCAAGCACTTACTCCAAATGCTTTGCAGATTGTTGTCAGACAGCCAGCAATCATAATTCTTCCAGTTTCACAGAAATAAGAGATTTACTTTCATTTCTATTCCGACATCAGACATTTCAGAAAGAAAATATTCAAATATCATTAAAGATAAATGTAAAGTTTAAAACCTGACAGACGGCTACAAAAATATTTTATTTTAAAGATATTTTTTCAATAAAGAATTTATTAATCCACAATTTAAGTTAAATTTATTGGTATTTTAATAATACTGTAACAATGGTAAAAAAATTGTTCCGAAATTCACAAATAACCACATCAAAATTTTTGTCGAGAAACTGATTTTAAAATTGCCAGAATTCACAATGGATACCAAAAAATGCACATTACATACTAGGAAAAAAGTTATCAGCGAAATAAAGAGAATGAACTAAAACAGTAATCTGAATTTTTGTAGTTTAAATACAAATCTGCTGACAAATCACAAAATTGCCATAATTTTTAGTTATTTTAGAAAAATTCGGGGAAAAAAATTGCATGAAAGATTTACTTTATATTCCAGTATAATTCTATTTCATTTTCATTAGAAACGTTGATTTATATTTCAATAGAAATTTCATTGCTAAAATGGTGAAATGAAACTGAAAGATTGATTCGTTTTTATTTTGGAACAGATGCTATTTCCAATTACTATTGCTATGCCAACAATTTGTGATTATTATAAATAAGCAGTTTTGATAATCACAAAATAGAAGTTGTATATATAAATGATCCCAGTATTATGCAAGTTCATGAACATGTTATACAAACTTGCTAACCTCATCATCATCTAAAATTGAAGTATTTTCCCAAAATATACATCACATGCAAGAACAATATGGTATTTTTGCCCTCCTTACCATGTGCTCCTCATTCTACTTGCAAGGTAATTGGAAGCACATCCAATTGATAGTTGGGAGAATCTGAGTTCAAATTCCACTGAGGGCACTGCTAATTCTTCATGACTCTTAAAAAAAAAAAAAAAAAAAAAAAAAAAAAAAAAAAAAAAAATCTTTATACAAGTGGAATGCAAACTAACAAATCTAATGACAAATCTCATGATGCAACTTGACAAACCTAACAGAGTGGTGGCCTACAGTAGTGGCCGAACTAAAATATATAAGACAAAAATTCATCACTACCAAGATTTGGCAATGAGGTCCCTGCCTCCCCAGCTGCCATTGAAGGGGAAAAGAATGTAAAACATTTTCTTCTTCCTTACCAAGTGCCCTTGTAATGTAATTGGAAGGTCTGGCAAATCTCAGCGAGGACATTGCACATTTTATATATTTCCTGCTCTGAAATAAACCTAATGACTCTGCAAGTCCACTAAAAATTATCCAGTTTATTTTTTCCATAGAAATTAATTAAACAAAGAGATGATTACGAGTGAGTAGGAGTAAAACACCTTAACGTTTATATATAAATTGTCTGACATTTGCAAAAAGCACCAGTTGCTCAGAGTCCTAAACCTATGATCGCATAATACAGGAACACTAATTTAGATTTTTATTTGCAGCCCAATGATTGAACATCTGCAGTAATTATTATGCTTCAAATTTTGGCAGGAACTTAGTGGAACCTATGTGAAAGACTTAGCTAATTTGTTAAAGATACTATGGGTGAAATATAAATTAAGGAAAGCTACATGCTTCAGAGATGCCTGCGTATTGACTAAGAACAAACTGCACTTCAATAGGCCGTAGAGTTCTACACTCTTATTCCACTAAAGTAAAAGTAAATGTGGAGGAACCTAGTGAACTGTTAAGCGAATTATCGCTTAGTTCAAATAACAGAAATCGTAAACTCAAGAAGGGTTAACTACCCTTTACATTCACTCAAAATGAGAATACTATTTCTTACTCACTTGCATTCAATGCAATTCTAAAAACTCATTCTGGTAGAGAGTTGTATGTTGATAAAAGGAATAATAGGAAAGGTTATCTAAATTAAAATATATCTTACAAGGCTTTCAAAAAGCTGTAATGATGAGTGGTTGATCAAATTCTGACATCAGTTATGTAGAACTGTCATGTTACTACATATACTCATGCAGAACTTTTAATGTTGTTACCTAAGAGATATCAAAAGAAATGAAAATAACCAAATGCTGAGGACATTCCAAAGCCATCACGGATGCAAATCAACATAGAAATCACAAAGGACAAGCTGGCTTGTTAGATAAGAAGTAAAATTTCTTGAACTCTACAACAACTCATGATTAGTCTTGGGTTTATGAGCTCGAACTTGAAATTAAGATGCAGTGGAAACATTTATCATCTCCACAACAAAGAAAAACATGAGAAATGGCAGCAAAATTATGTTGATAATTTTCTTTGGCTTCTATGAGTTACATATCTCACACCTAAAACTTTACAAAAGAGTCCTTACTATAAAATGTTCTCTTCATTTTCCCAATGTCGTGAGGCGCACTGAAAATATTGTAGCAGCATCATAACAAACTTTTTCCTTTCCCCTTCACATTATTAAAGGTTTTCTTGGCTGCCTAACCATTCCTCTGGTTTGTCAAGCTCTCTGCTTTGCTAAAATGCCTCATTCTGGTTGCTCTCTATGTTCAAAGTATCAAAAGGGGTCAGTTGAATCATGGGAAGATATTACACAGAAAACTACCATCCAGCTGTACTTAAATTCCAAAAAAACTTTTCAGAAATGCTTTCAACAAAGCAGCACCATTAAGGAAAATGTATTCCGGCAAAGTCTATTTCAAAGGAGATAAGGAATTGAATCAATCATATTAAGTAAATGTATTTTTCTAGGGTCAAATATTTTCTAGACTTTGTATACATTTTTTTAGACTTTGTATACTTTATAAGTATCTTTTTATACTTATGTTTTTATCAAAGTTAATATTTTAACATACAAAGGATATAAAATTTAAGTTTTTATATTTGTGGGAGAAAACACTGAAATTCTGGGTCATTTCTAGTAGCAATTCTATATAAACATTACTATGTTACATGCAAAAACACAGTACACAAAATATTATGGCAACATATTTTGTGAAGAGGATATCAAGATTTGTGGCAAAATGAAGAGGATATCAAGATTTGTGGCAAAATGAAGAGGATATCCTCTTCACAAAATGTTTCAGAATGCAAATTTTTAAAATAAAAATGTAAAACTATTTTATAAAATAATTTTTTAAATTAAATATTTAATTCATACATTTTTTACAACCATTTAACAGGTTTACTTTTCACTTTTCTGAGAGAAAGCAGACTAATATTCATGTAACTACATACCTTTAGTGTAGCATATGACATCAATATCACCAGGCTTGACATTAGCATCACTCAAAGCTTTTGCTAAAACATCCAATATATGAGCTTGATGATGATGAGCTGTATCTCGTGGTAGAAAGCCTATAAAAAATTTTATATTAGTCTTAATTATAAATTTAAATAATGTTTTAAAAAAGAACACATATTTTAATACTGTCAAACATTTTTATCTCAAATTCCTTGGCATTTGGGGGAAAAAAATTTATCCCTTGTTTTCAGAAGTAAATCACATTTCAAATTTCTGATTGCTGTTTTAAAGCAATAAATACACAGTAAACTTTCTGCCCTTTTGCCCTAGAAACAAAAATAAGCCTCATTGGCCTAAGGACTTGCTCATTCATAATCTCCATATTTTATGCCAGTGGTTTTGATTCTTTATTTATGTCTGTATGTTCTAAACAGTAAGACATTCACAAACAATAACAATATTTTAGCATAAAGAATTTTCTAAGACCTTCAACCTCCAATATAATGATGGCCAATCAAAGAATAGCTAGAACTTCCCCCCCCCCTCCAAAGAAATCAACACACAGAAATGTTGATGAATCCAATAAATATTTTCATAAATTTTTTATCTAACAATCTGAAGAATATGGTCAGAATAATAAAAAGAAAACTTACTGAGCTTTTAAGAGAACAAAATTTTTAGACAAAAACTGAAAAGAGAAATTGCATCAAAATTCAAGTAATCTTGTAAATAAAATTCAAGAAATTATTGAAAAAAAAATCCAAAAATCAGAATGCTCATACGGAACATGAAGGAATGTTTTGAGTAATGCCATAATGAAGAGTTCCAGCAGAAAACTGTTGGGTGTTATAAGGAATATGGCTACATAGCGATGAATTTGAAACTAACAGCTGGCTTGAAAATTTCAAAACCAAGTAATTTTGGAATTTCAATCAATGATTTCTTGAAAGTGGACATTTTAATTGCAGCATTCTGAATTTTAACAAGTAGTAAAATTTCAGCAGATATAATATTCCATTAAGATGACAATAATAAAGTAGAACTACTGGAAGATTATAAAATTTGATGGTGAAAAAAGCAGAAAATGTTTTCGCTTCACATACCTCTTCAAAGTCCTCTCAAAGCATACATTCTGAATTATTCATATCGGTAATTGCTTTAGAGAAAACAACCTATTCTCGCAAAAAGACAAACTGACCTTAGACATTATTAAAAGTATTACTTTTGCTATATGTTGCAGTTACTTGAGACAACAGTTTCTTTCGACACTTCATCGAGCACAATTTTCTCAAGGAATGTTTGCTTCCAAGAATTTAATTTAGTTAGATCTTATGATCCTTTCTTCCTTCTGATTAGTTGACATATGCGAAACACAGATATGAATGGAAATTTTTCAGCATTGATATAAAATATTGTGCCTATTATAAAAAAACCTATTACTCAAACTGGTTTTGAGTGAATATGTTTTCAAGAAAATTGGCCAGTGGCATTACAAGTGTATGGGCTTATTACATTTCATATCCATAGGTATGATGCCAGCTTTACACTTACACTGTGGTTATGTACATCTAATTATATAACTACCTGATTCTTTCATTAATTGTAATTTTAGATTAAAAGCATAAAATTAAAATGAAAGAGTGATAACATTTCATATTTTCCATATTAAAGAGAGGCCAGTTTTTTATTTCTTGTTTGGCTTATGGTATTCATGTTTAAATTTCACTAACAAAATGTTATATAATTGATATTTTTCCATTTGTCTCATTTCACTCATTCCAGAATTTATGTAGATTTGAGACACAAGCAGTTTTACTATAAAGTTAGAATAACTGCACATAGCTATATGTGAGTGTTTTGGCCTGCGCTTCCTACTGCATTGCCTATAATGTTTAGCTCTCTATTGGAAATTTTAACACTGTCTTGAACTAAATATTGTACAGCAAAGCTAGATCTGGTTTTAGGAAGCTGGATGTTTGAATCTTTGCTATGATCTTAGGTAGAGAAGAAATAGATTAAAGTGTTTGAATTTATAGCAACTTTATGGAAACTTCCGCTTGAGCTAAATCAAGGTGACAGGTAATCTTGTGTAGTAAGTTTTTAGTTTGATTCTAACAAGAAGTGAAGTAGAATAAACTTAAAATTATATTTCTCTATCCAATTTGATTTAAAAAAGAACTCACCCTGCAGAATCCATGTGACAGCTTTAGTTGATTGTAACTGAGCTAACTTAGTTAAACCTAAGACATGTGTTACATACTTGGCAATTTAAAAAAAATGGATTCATAAAAGCTAGTTTCTAAAAATTAGAGCATATAATAGAAAACCAAAGTAGACTTTTAAAAACTTTCATCAAAACTCCCTTTCTTTAAGATGTTATGCATATTTTACATTCCAAACACATAATTTAATGAAATATAATATATACAGTAGCTAAAAAAACTGGTTAGCTTCTTTTAGAATTATTTCAAATGTTTTAGAAATGGCATTCAAATTTAGAAATCAGTGAGAGCAAATATTAAGAATTACATTTACATATTACATAAGATTATTTTTCACCAGTTTTGGGAATTATTTCTCATTCTGAGCTAAAATCTCTCATATTACACCAAAAATAATATTGCTGTTGTGTGCGTACGGGTTCATAACAGACTGAATGCACAAGTCCGATAAAAGGTTAATAAAATTTATTCTTATCAAAAGAAATATAACAAAACTCTGGAATTTTTCTCAGAAATATTTATTAAAGTGTTCACAATATCACCCAGTAATATCAGTAGTTATACTTTAAACTACTACAAACGTTAAATAGGACGCAAAGCACAGCACAGAGAAAGCTAATCCGATCACCAATAACAACAGCAGCTAACTAAACAACTGAGCTGAGATGTCTCTCTCCGGCATTTTAAAGTTTTCAATTGGTCGCGAGAGAGTTCTAGTAATTTCTTTGCTTCTCAAGATTTCTGGAAACCAACAGGAGGATGGAATTATGGTTACAGCTAATACAGTAGTCAGCTACATTTTTTCAATTTCAATTATCATGCACTGCAGTGCACGGGGAAATTTTTGTTCCTGAAATCACCAAAAGTTGACAAACTTGGCAACTACATGGCAACAATTTAGTCTGGTCACTGTATCACCATAATAGGTATTGTAATTGAAAAAAAAAGGTAATAGGCCACTATTAGCTGTAATCATATCTGGCCCTCATATGCCTTCCAATAATTTCGAGAAGCAGAAAGTTTTAGAAATATCTCAGCAGCTGGGTAGAAGCTATTTAAGGCTGAAAAGAGAGCATCTGCCCTCAGTTGTTGTTGCGAGTTGTTACTTCAGCGCGAGTTCAGAGTACTGAGATATCTTCGAGTTAGCTTCCTCTTTATATGTAATTTACATGGCACTGTGCTTAATGTTCTTAGTAGTTTGAAGCGTAACTAACGATTGTACTCTTTGATACTGTGAACACCTGTACGCGTATTTCTGTGGAAATTTTCAGAACTCTGAAGTGCTTCTTTTAATAAAAATTAATTTTATCAATCTATCACCAGACCTCTGTGCATTCAATCTATTACAAACCATGCAACAATTTTTGGTGTCAGAAGTGGGACTGAATACCATTGACAAGATTGATGGATGAAAAATAAAGACAGCTGATGGCAGGCTTTGCTGCATTCAAAGAAGAGATTAAAGCAGGCCAAGAGGACGTGAAAGCTGGCCAACATTCTGTTAAAGGAGAGATGGAAGCTCATCAAGAATCCATTAAAGACCAGATGGAAGCTATTCAAGATAAGACTGAAACAAGTGAAGAAGAAATTAAAAGAGAAATTACATGCATACTACAAAACAAATTTGAGGCTACTGAAGGCAGAATTGACATGCTTGAAGAAAAAGTTGGAGAAATTCAAGAAAGCATTTCTGCAGTGGAACAATAAATCAAAGAAAGAGTTTCTTCTGTCCAACAGTAAATCGAACAACAAGTTGATAACAGGCTTTCTGAAGTTGTCAAAAAAGTTAATAACCTTAAAGAAATTCATAGCAAATTTAGGAAGCAATTTTGATGGTTTAAAATTTTTGAGAGTTGCGAATATAACTGACAAAAAAAAAAAAAAAAAAAAAAAAAAATTATTAAGAAAAGTGAAGTGTACTCCAGTAAAAGTGTTAAACAAAGCAGTAACATTTCAGAATCTGTATCTTCAGAGAGCATTACATCAGAGTTATTGGAGAACGCACAATTAAGCAATAAAAGAGGAGTGTTGCAGAATGTGTCAATCAAGAATTTGAAGATGTTTCCTCCCACTCTTCTTCTGATGTAGGTTCAAATAGTTTGACACAGCACAGAATTGATGCTGGGTATCATCCAACAATCAAGCAACATCCAAGATTTCTATGGATTGCTAAACAGGAAAAGGTAGAAAAACCTCTAATGGGCATGCAAGAAAGTGATGATATAGAGATATCGAACCTTCAGCAAATCCATGAGCCTCTCCCATCATTCTGGTCAGAAGAAAAGATGGTTCAAGTACATTTTGCATCGACTCTCAGTGGTTCAACTAGGTTATAAAGAAAGACAGCTACCCTCTTTCTAGAAGTGACTACTTCTGGAAAAAAGGGTTTTTTGATGCTTGATTTAAAAAATGGATATTGGCAGGTAGAGATACATCCTGATGACCAAGAAAAGATGGCTTCTACTATTGGACAAGAATTTTGGAGTTCAAAATGATGCTGTTTGGGTTATGTAATGTGCTGGCAACATTCGAACAACTCGAAGGAGACTGTGTCGAGAGGTCTTTCCTAAGAAGCCTGTCTGCTATACCTGAATGATATCATCAATTGTCAAGAACATCTATAAAATCTTAGAAAGATGCTTCAGAAACTGAAGGAAGCCAATCTAAAGAAGAGTCTCGCTAAATGCAAACTGTTCAGACATAAATTGAATTATCTTGGACATGTCATTTCTGCTGAAGATGTGCCTATGGATCCAGAAAAAAGGTCAGCAATTAAAGAATGGAAATGCCCCGAAAATGTCCATCAGCTAGAAAGAAGTTTTCTGGGGCTTGACATGAAGGGAATGAACTTATGGATGGGATTTGATTGAGATCAAAGGGTTTAGTAAGAAGAAAAAGTAATTTTATATGCAAAACACATACCTTCTCCAGGAGGTGTAATGTATGTCGCCCTGCAGTTAGAAAGAACTTCACCATCTCTAACAATACCAACACCTAATTTATTTGCACTTCCTTCGAAACCTATAGCAATGGTCATTCTGAATCTAAAGGAAAAAAAAAAAAAAAATCAGACATTCGTACACTTTTTTAGAAGTTTCACCACATTTAAGGTTCAGATTAACAAAAATTGAAACAGAAGTATATGATTAAAAGAATTTTTCCGTGAAAACTTAGAAAAAGTTTATTGTCAAAGTAAAACTGAGACATCATCCATATCAGTAATAATTTATTATTAACTCAAAATAAAATGCATGACTTGAATAATTCTTAGATCAGCTGAAAGTAGATCTTACAGGAGAAGAAAGAAATGGGGGAGTTCAGCACCTGCTACTTACTAAAATCACATCCTTTTCAAACGTAAAGTATGTTCATTAAGTGGCTAAGTTTACTAATCAGCGAATTGTACACTGCAGATTGTAATGTCAGCATTAACATATAGATATTATGACTACGTCAATAATCAATAACCTAAAAGAATAATTAAGCTTAAATTATTTATGCAATTTATAACTTTATTTATAATTTTTTACAAAACTGTTGTTATAATTATGTATTCGATAAAATTCTGAACTTCTACAAAGAACTGATCAATGCATGTTTGTTTCACATTGTTCATTAACTTCATAGTTTTTCAATCATATCTCCAAGTTCATAAAACTGTTAATAGTTCAAGCACCTTTCCTTAGCATCTGAGGTGCTTTGCTAGATTCAACTGAGACTGATATATTGCAAGTTTCCTGGATACCATTTCACTGTCAGTCACAGCTTCTGTAGTGCCTTTCATAGTATCACAGTCAGTTTTTTCGCATGTTGTCTCAACATTGTCATTAATTGCAATATAATCCATAAACAAATTTTCATAATTTACCTCACTAATGTATGTAACACTGTCTCCTCTATACAAAACCATATTTTATAAAACAATATTTAATTATGTTCTGGGTTACTCTCCCCTCTCCAAATGCATTTATTATAATATGCATGGCATCTAAAAAATTAAAAAAAAAATACCTTTTTTGAAATATTTTCATTCTCACAAGATTTTTCTTTGTTTATGACATTTTAAACATTTTTTTAGCAACTGAAAGGTTTAATATGTTGGTCTAAATGTTAAATGATAAAAGTTGTACTATGATTCTAAACTAATGAGTGGACTGTAGAGCAAAAGAACTAACTAATTTATTGATAGTAATTAAACTCCATTCAGATCTTACATGCTCTGGCATGTTGCTTAACTGAATCCAGATGGCCAAGAGAGAGCTTCTGTCCCTATACAATAGGTGGCGCTGTAATCTAACTTGACATGCCACCACCCGGGAAATTCCAAATTTCAACATGTAAATTACAAACAAACATACAATTTAACATTTCAAGAACAACTAATTCTACAGTACAAATATGAAAGCTAATAGGTAATTTCATCATGAATATAATATAAAATAAACATTTTAAGAACATTCACTATGCTACAATTGAACTTATTCTTAAAGAGTTCCATTTTAATATAAGGCATAATTTCCAATAAGAACACAATAATTATTATCCTGGATAGGTAATAAATAAATTTTACTAATACATCGAATATACACACCATTTAATGTTTTCACTTTAACAACTCTGGCTTTATTATCTTTACCAGGTAAAACTTCTAGAATTCTAGCTAAAGACCATTTAAATGGGGGAAGATTATCTTCCTTTAACGCAACTAACATACCTGCCTTTAAATTTTCTTGATTAATAAACCATTTGGTGCATTGTTGGAGATGATTTAAATAATCAGTTTGCCAATGTTTCCAAATAACTTGAATGAACTTGGTAATAATCTGCCAATTAGAAAGTCTATTATCTGCAAGATGAGACAATGCTGGTTCAGGATATGAAGTAATGGAACATCCAATTAAAAAATGACCTGCCGTTAAGGCTTCAAATTCATTTGCATCTGTTGATAAAGGTAAAATTGGATGAGAATTGAGAATACCTTCAATCTGTGTGACAACAGTCTAAAATTCTTCTAAACTCAATTTATAACTGCCAATTGTATGCTGAAGATTATATTTAAATGACTGCAACTGAAAAATCAAGTTACGAAATTATTTATACCTTAAAGAAGAGTCGAGAGAGATGAGAGAGTAATGCCATCTGTTAGTAGAAATAATAACAAAATTGAAAAATTAAGACAATAGAGATTTAAAAGCATTGGGTAGGATTGGATTAACATCATTAACTAACCAAGGTAAATTTTTCCACTTTCCTTTCAATCAAAGCTTAATCATGTACTATAATACCAAGAATCATTTTATGAAATTTAATTAGAATTTTATGCAGTGGCATAGCGAGGGGGGCAAGGGGGTGTATGGTGCACCGGGTGCCGCTCACAGAGGGGCGCCAAATGGTCTCCAGTAAAATATTTTCTTACATCTAGAGATATGTAACATTAGAAATCATTTATAAAGCTTTTTTTAAAAAACTAATGCCAGATTTTAAATTTATGCTAAAATATAAATTACGGCTTATTTATGTTATTTTCGTAATTTTATTTTCCTTCGTACTTTTCTTTTAACATAAATGATCCTATCAATCTAAATATAATTATTTTTGTACTTTTCTTTTAATATAAATGATACTACAAAGTCCGTAATCTGGACATCCATTACCCGGATTGATCTATAATCCGGACCTCAAAGCCACAAACATTTTTTTTACATGCTTTACGCATGCGTGTTTAATGTGCACTTCCGATACACTTGCGTGGCTTCCATTAGTGAAGAAAGTGACAGAGAGGTTATTGAAAACGAAAAAATTTCGATTGACAAGTTAGTTGGTAGTCTCGACACAGCAATTACAGGACTTGAACAGTGGAAATTTGTAACTGAACAAGAAATTATGGTTGATCTTTGGATTATGGTAACTTGGCGATTTTTTGGCGAAAATTTGGCGACCAACTCTGCTACAGCAACCCACTATTTTCCGCCGCCATTTTATCTTCACGAAGTAGAGACAAGTTTCTTTTTTTTAATCTACTGAACACTTTTTCCAACAATCTACTAGCCGAATTATACTTATGCTAGAAATTTTATGTAACAAAACTGCTTAATCATGACAAATATTAACTGCAAAATTGGAAAAAAGTGCACAATCGCAAACTCCTTGCGTGTTTTTCAGAATAGCACATACACATAAATCATTTACACATCGACTTATTTTTACTTAAAAAAAACATCCCAGAATTGCACTAAAATGGCATTAGACACACTCTTAACTTTATCCATCTACATTGCTATTTTCTCATAAATTACAAAAATTTGCACGAAAATGCAAAAAAAAGCTGTAAATCTTTAAACTCGGTAAAAAGCACATATATGAAATTACCTGATCGCGAAAAAGTAGATACCCTTTCCAAGGATGAACATTTCCACGTATAATATAAATAAAATACCAAAGACTTTTACCTCTAAATTATCTATTATATTATAAACGTCACCAACGAATTCATACCTCAAACATTACAAATGGTTACAAATACTTAATTAAATATTTAAAATATTTAAATTAATTCCATGCAAATATTAAAATTATTTCCATGCACGTTTACTTCCACTGAAGCGTACACTAAATTCCTACAAACATAAAATTCACAAAATAACTATCATTTAATTAAAATATCACTAAACCATGTACACGTTGACTTATTTTTAGTTAAAGAAACATCCCAGAATTGCACAAAAATGGCATTGTGCACACTCTTCACTATATCCATGTACACTGCTTTTTTCTCATAAATTAGAAAAATTTCACGAAAATGCATGAGAATTTTGTGAATCCTAAAATCTGGTAAAAAGAACATATATGAAATTACCTGATCGCGAAAAAGTATATACCCTTTCCAAAGATGAACATTTCCACGTATAAAATAAGTAAAATATCCAAAAACTTTTACCTCTAAATTATCTATTATATTATAAACGTCACCAACGAATTCATACCGCAAACATTACAAATGGTTACAAATACTTAGTGTCAAATATTTAAGTTATTTCCATGCACGTTTACTTTCACTGAAACGTATACCAAATTCCTACAAACAATAATTCACAAAATAACTATCATTTAATTAAAATATAATTAAATTCAAAAACACTACTTAAAATATAAATAAGCACATACATTATATTAATAAAAATAGCTTACAATCCTAATTACTTTAAAACTAAATCATTGCTAATAACAATTTTCCAATAATACCATATTACTTTATTTACTCCTTACATTTAGAACAATGCATAAAAAAATAATATCCTCAAATAATTAAAAATACTAACTTACCTAATCTTCTTCAGAATCTTGATTACGTGGCGTATAAACTTTTCTTATTTCCTCCGCTAAATAAAAAGCAATCGTATGTGCACCTGTTTCAGGATCTTTAAAATCATACTTATAGTTCACAGCAAGATGTTCAAAACCTTCATCCTCCAAACAGACTTAATAAAACTTAATAACCAATCTTTACTTCTATCTCGCACAACCTTAAAAAAACACTATTACTACCTTTCAATCCCACTAAATACCCATTTCGAATTCACTTTAGTTAGGGCATGGGATAAAAATAACCACCACTGTTTCACACAACACAGAATAAAGCTAAATACAAAATTTCCAGATTTCCCCCTTTTCGATTAAAAGAACTATAATTCGTCCATTAATGTCACATGACATATCTCATGATCTCTCATTTCCCTCACACAAAATAATGCATAATCAGAACTGAGTACTTCTCACATTATTACCAAAGTCCTAGGTAGTAACCTCTATCCCCTCCAAAATGTCGCCAAACTACCAGTTACCATATTCCAAAGATCAGCTGAAATTATGTCTGTTTATAGAATTAAACAGAAAGTATTAGCACAAAAAACGAAGCAACTTAAACAAACTTACATTGAAAGAATGTTTAATAAAGTAAACAAATATTTAAGCTTTTTTTTTAAATTTGGATACCCTTAAGATCATAATTGTGCTCTTTATTTCATAAATTACAGTTTCATATTTTTAATTTTATAATTTGTACATGCCATTTTATCAGATTTAATCTGATGATCTATTATCCAGAGAAATCGATAATCCGGAATCGCCGAAGTCCTGACGAGTCCGGATTAACGACTTTTGGATGTATTCCAAAAAATTAATCTAAAAAATTTTTTTAAGGAATTCAAAGACCAAATTAAATAGCATAAGTGAATAATTTCTTAGCAGGCAGGAGACAGACTTATCAAGGGGAAGCTGCCTCCAAATGTAACTCTTCAATTACTCAATTCGTGTTTTGTCATCCATATAGGCAAGGGTAAAAAAAATTAAAAAGCAAAAGTAAAACCAAATGTTGTGAATTACTAAAAAAGAAATTAAAACTAGTAGGAATTTACAAAGTAAAATGACTAGGAATTAAAATATTAATTGAATGTCAATTAAGAGTAGAAAATCAAAGTCGTTTAGAAACTCTTGCCTATTGAAAACTTCTACACGAATTATGCATGTAAACCTAAAATAAACTATATACAATCTATTATATATTTGAGAAATATTTGGTACTTTGATTATTTGCAACTCAAAAAAGTCACCAATTCTTTGGTGAAAAACATTTGCTCGGCTAACTTTATACAGTCAAAAGTCGTTAATCCGGACTCGTCGAGACTTCGGTGATTCCGGATTATAGATCATCAGTTTAAATCTGGTAAGATGGCATGCAGAAATTATAAAATTAAAAATATGAAACCGTAATTTATGAAATAAAGAACAATTATGATCTAAAGGGTATCAAAATTTACAAAAAAAAAAAAAAAAAAAAAAAAAAAAAGCTTAATATTTATTTTTTACTTTATTAAACATTTCTTTCAATGTAAGTTGTTTAAGTTGCTTCGTTTATTGTGATAATACTTTCTCTTTAATTCTATAAACAGACATAATTTGTTGTCAGTTACAAAGTTCTGCTGTTCAAGTTCTATAATTGCTGTGTCGAGAATACTGACTAATTTATCAATCGAAATTTTTTCGTTTTCAATAACTTCTGTGTCACTTTCCTCACTATCACAATATGAAACCGTAATTTTTGAAATAAAGAACAATTATGATCTAAAGGGTATCAAAATTTACAAAAAAAAAAAAAAAAAAAAAAAAAAAAGCTTAATATTTATTTTTTTACTTTATTAAACATTTCTTTCAATGTAAGTTGTTTAAGTTGCTTCGTTTTATGTGATAATACTTTCTCTTTAATTCTATAAACAGACATAATTTGTTGTTCAGTTACAAAGTTCTGCTGTTCAAGTTCTATAATTGCTGTGTCGATAATACCGACTAATTTGTCAATCGAAATTTTTTCGTTTTCAGTAACCTCTGTTACTTTCTTCGCTGTCGGAAGCGAATTATAATGACGAGGCATTTGATTTAAATCATATCAAAGACGGAGCACATCGAGATGAAATACCTTTAGTAAGAAATTATAAGCCAAATAAAATAAAAACATCTGCCCTGAAGATAAGGATAGCGCTGACAGATCAACTTCCAATTCATTGTGCACCGCGGTATCATCCATGTACGCATCAACCTATTTTCACTTAAAAAAAATCCCAGAATTGCACAAAAATGGCATTGCACACACTCTTGACTTTATCCATGCACACTGCTAAAGTTCTAGCTAGTAACCTTTATCGCCTGACCAAAATGTCCCTAAACTACCTGTCACCATATTCCAAAGATTAGCCATGTTCTGTTCTTAAATAATTATGAAAAAAGGCAATTCATGAAAAACAAGAAATACAGCTTGACACTTACAACCATGTTGGCACAGTCCAGCAATCTTTTACAGAAGAAAAAGAAATTGATCGGTTAATTTTCGGATTGCAACTTACAATGGATATGATTACCTAAAGAATTGTTATGCGCATGGTTGCCAAAATTTGGCAACTTCTACTAAGGCGGTTGAGATAATATGCAAGTACCTACAGCCTTTTCCAAACTTGCCACCAATATTCATTCTAACACTTTTACTGCAGCTTTGATATTGCAGTTTGATAAAATTCTGTCGTATGCAAATGGTTATTGTCAATTATGGTTATGCCTATTGTCAAACGTATACTCAAAACTATGCCACCAAACACGCAGTTCTATCAAATATTTAAAATGGAATGAAATAGGGTTGAAATGGTAGTGAATCAGAAGTACCAAATATTGTTTTTATTTTCATCACATCACTATCCATCTATACTCCTTTTTATAAGTATTTCTTAAAATATTAATTCTTTTCCTATTTTGTAGCACAGACTGATATTGGATATTCATCTCTATCATAAACAACAGTCCTTATGTTCAGTAACTCCAAATACTTAAAACATTTTCTTAGGCATATTAGTACATCCTTGTTAAAGCAAATTAATGATTCTTTAATGAGGACTTCAAATTTGCACATTACAGTCTGGGCACAGTAGTTTGATATTTTTGACAAATAAATGCTTTAACAAGAAGTACCCGATTTCTTTTAAAAGATTACTTTTTAATTTTGCATTATTTTATTTGATTGATTTATGTAAACAAATGAAAAAAATTCTGTTAAAGTAATTCAAAAATATTTTTTCGATAAATACAGACACCACTACCAGTATATAGAGCAGAAGTCAACAAATTTTTAGAATGTAGCGAACTCTTGTAATAATTTACCTAACAAATCTTCAATGTTAACAAGCAATGTCGTCATTTTTATATGCTTTCTTTTTACAGTGTTTTCATAGTACCTCACGATATAATTTTGCTTTAAACTGTTTTAAGACACATGTTTGTGGGATTTTCCTGATGCGAAAGAATATTTTTATTATAAATATTAAAATAAAAGTATAAATATAAAAGAATTACATTTAACTTGATCTATGTATGTGTATTTTTAAAAGTGATGACAGTGTATTTTTAAAAGGCAGTAAGAAATAAAATATCATTATCATATCATTTGAAATATAAGTAAAAGAAATGGTAAATATATTTCAATTCCAGGTGGAAGGAAAAGAAAATCAGACATAAACAGTACTTATCGTACTCACACAGAAAAGAAATTATTTCAAAGATTCAAAACTAGCAACAAAAGTAACCGGAACTCATAGAAAAAGTCAATCGGAAGTGGAGGAAAGTAGCAAACAGAAAAATGACAATATTAAGAAATTATTTTAGGAAAACAGCTTCAGCTTCTAGAAATTATATATGTAGAAATATATGAAATAAATGAATAAACTAATCAGAGAAATTTATTCTTTTTTTATTTTTATTTAATTTCCCGCTTTACCAAAGTAATGACGTCAGAAAAGATGTCGCACCGTTTCGAAGGTGCGTTTTCGGTTTCGAAGGTGCGGTGTCTACAGCGTTTTCGTCATTTTTCATGTCATCGTTTCTGTGAAAAAGAGTTCTGTCCTATTTTTAACAAAACAGACTACTACGCTTTTATAAAAAGTCACTAAACTATTTTCGTAGCGTATGGTTCAGAATGAATGTCACTCATTGTCACGAGCAACTCAACGATTGCGTAAACCTAATGAAACAGAATGAAAATATGTTATTCACAAAGAATATATTTAATTTATTCATACATAACTTTTAATGTTAGCAACTGGTATAATCAGATCATTCAAGATCTATGTTTTTGATCTTACACTTTCAAAATCAAAGGACTGCAGGCATTGAGAAAAGAATATGCTAAATTCATTGTAACACTTATAGTTATTCTCAGCTCAGTAAAAAAATTATACATTTCAATTCTCTAATATTCGAGCCTAACTGTAGCTTGAATCATTTTATCGATATAAAGAGCGATAATGTGCCGCGAATATTAATCCGAATATCACTGCGTGATAAGTTTCGCGAAAGTGAAATGTTGACGATTTAAGTAAATTTATAAAATAAAAACACTACGAGATTTTCTATTAAAATGATAGCAGCATTTATATACCATACATTTACAATTGCGAAACAAATTAAAAATAAACTGTAAACAACAACTCACTCTTGAATGCAAAAGCCCTCGTTCAGTGGCGATGCTGATGTGCACTTGTGAATTATGCTTCCCGAGATATCTCGGATTCTAGGTGTATCGAAAACAGCACTCCCAATGGTACCTCGGTTTTATCACAGATTGAAGGAAAATTCTTTTTGAAAATGAAAGAGCTCTTCAAATGAAAACTTTTGCCTATTCTTTTTTGTTTCTAACTGGAATAGACAAGGAAATATCTTCGGTCCAATGTTAGATTCTACCTAATGTTAGGAGCAAGAATCTGGGTTACGCAAATGACAGGTCTCTGAGAGGTCTGTCGTTTGCATATCCTTCTTCGGGTTGGTACCTATAATACTTTCCGAGTTTCGTTTCTATTGAAGCTATCCGTAAATGGCTACTTCATTAAATCACTAGTATCTATTTCTACTATAGGTACAAAGGAAATTATCTATGCAAGCGAAAGATCTCTTCAAATGCAAACATTTGGCTGTTCTCGTTTTTAATAAGTGTCATAGATCACGAGTTATGTGCGGTCAAAGATACACCGTAAAGATTCAGCCATTGGAACTTCGATTCTGTTACATGCAAAATGAGAATTTAAAAAAAAAAAAAAAAAAAAAAAAAAAAAAAAAAAAAAAAAAAATTCTAGAGCGCCTGACACGCAAACTTTTGGCCATTTTCGTTTTTATTAAGTATCACAGTTTGATGGAAAGAGAAAAGAGGGGGTGAACCAGAACAACAACCCGGGGTGCTCTTCCTCAAAATTGGGGGACAGAAGTCCAGCCTCTCTTTGGAGTAGGCTTTGGCAACCATTCTTCCATATAATATAGACACGGCAACAACGACAATAACTATCACAGTTTCAGAGAGAGATTCTATCAAAAATGCACCGAAAACGGTACACCAGTTCTATTATAGGTAAAATGAAAGTTTTTGCTGCAAATGAAAAGGTTCCTCAAATGGAGCATTTTGGTTATACGCTTTTGTATAACTCAAAAAGATCCCGAGAATATTTTCGAATAAAATTTACATGTGTTTAAGAAGAGCGAACTTCTGCTCTATTATAGATAAAAAAAAATTAATGGATAGAGCATCTCACGCGAAAATATTTGGCTATTTCCGTTTCTTTTTAATACGTATCATAGATCCCGTGATATCTTCAATTATAGGTACAGCAACATTTCGTTTCTATTGTAGCTATCCGTAAGCGAGCTACGAAAAGGATAGATCTTCCCGAGACCTGTCCTTTGTGCACCCTCATTCCTTTGTATCTATAATAGTTTTGGAGTTCTGTTTCTAATTAAGCTATACGTAAGCGAGCTACCGAAATGGCAGATATCCCTGAGATTTATCGATGGATCATTCCTTTCGAGGGCTTAATTTCTAAAATCAGAAGGGCCGGAGCCCAATGGAAAGTGGTAAGGGAGAAGAAAAAGTAAAATAATTAATAAAAAAAGGACTAATAATTAAATTAATTAATTAAAGATTAACATTCAATTAAATATAATTATAAATTACAGTTAATAAATAATTAAATTCATGATAAATAGTTGGGCCTCATCTTATTTGGAGTTCCGGCTGGACTTAAAGTTCATTCAGAAAACTAAGCAATAGCTTAGACGGCCTCCGGCTGATATTAAGTCCTGAATGTAGGTATAATTTACTATTTCAAGGTGTGAGAGAAACAAAAACCATTATTTTCCTAGCATACTGATGCGAAAAAATATAACCATTAAAGCGGTACTAATATGAACAGAGAGAATGATAGAAACAAGACGAGAGTATAGAAGGAAATTTTAATGGAGGAAATGCAGTTTCGAAAACAAACACAGAAGAGTCCTAAGCTTTCTGACCATGCGCTGCTTGTGTAATTCTAGCTGTCAAACAGAATGTAACTAGGAAAAAAAAAAAAAATTCTCCCGAATCCTATCTGATAACAATATGGGAACTAATACAAGGTCTGCACAAATGCAAATTTTTGTTCCTCGTATTTAGTTCCATTGTACAAGTCTGCTGGAGTTCTGCAGTCAGAGGTCACTAGCGCTGGGAGTGCACACCAAGGTAATCATTAAGAGAATTCAAGTGTATTTTTTTAATTGAGGTGAGAAGGACTGAAAGTGTTGCAATGAATCTAGTGTTTTCTTATTTCAGTGCTTGGATTCTTTTGATTTTAAAGTCTAAGATTCAGAATACATATGATCTGATTACATCCATTGTTAACATTAAAAATTATATGTGAATAAATTTAATATACTCGTTGTGAATATAATAAATTCACTCTTTCATGAGTATTTCTTTTGTAGATAGTACACTTAAGAGTGAGCAGTTATTAAATGTGAAATTTAACACACTAAATGTATTCGAATGCACATTAAGTTCACTTTGAATAACATTCTGCATTGGTTATTATTATAGACCATCTTTTTCATATAGACTGCAATAAAAAGTGCTGACTTCTATTTACATATACAATTAGTGTAAATATTTTTCTCATACACATAGTTTTATGTAAAGATTGCGTTTGGGCTCAGATCTTTATCACATATTTCATTCTTCATCTTATTTATAAGTAATATTTCACATCGATATTTTTGCGAAGTATCCAACATGTGTTTGCATTTATTTCAACCAGGCAGTGAAATCTTCAAAATTTCCTATAACTGATTTAACTTCGCAATGAAAAGTTTCAGGAGCAATCGACGATGCTTTAATTATTTTGTACAGAAAATTGCGTGGAAGAATATTTTCAACCATCTTACTTAAATCTTAAAGCACGCGAAAGGTCATGTGACAGGACGGAAATATTACTGGATGCTCATTGGTTCATCCTAGAAGCCACTCCTTCGGTGGCTACACAGATGTGCACTTGTGAAATAAGCTTACGGGCCCACTGCAATCTCGTTCGTTTGTGAAACTTGAGAGCGGTAATGATCGAACCATTTTTAAATGAATCATTTACCCAGGCTCCTTGATTCGCCTATGAAGAGTATTTTTGGATATTTACAATCCACAAATCTTGTAACTTGGTGAACCGATTTTTTCTGTGTCAAAGTCATTCTTTGTATTCGCCTGTCGCTGGGAATATCCGTCACTCGGGGTGTCTTTGAATGTGGTTCACGTGATATTGTACGACGTTACCACTAGATATTGTATGATGTCTTATGAGATATTGAATGATATTAATAACAAGATATATAATAATTGATAATTACGAGATATGAATACCACGATATATTTTACGATGGCTTACGAGATATTCTACGATGAATCCTGCTTACAGATCGATTCAGAAGTTTCAAAAACTTTTGTAACAGACCTACCGCGCAAATTAAACTTCAGAATCGTTTTAACTTCAGCATCAGAAAGTTGCGTAGCTTTAGGGATGCTTAAGTGCAGTTCTAATGATCGTTTTCCTTTTTTAAATTTAAGGTTTGAATGAGGGTATTATCATACAAAAAGACCTGTCAGCGGCCAAGCGTAAAGTCACTGAACACTGGTAGTTCCGACCGTGGTTCGATTCCTCCACGAAGGCATCCCGCCCCTTAGGCAAATAGCTCTTGTGTGCTTTGCTGTAATCTTAATAATCCAAATCATATAAAAAGCTTAGGCTCTCATCATGATTGTTCCTAACGGATTTGTATAGAATTACATTTGTCTATAATACACTATTTCATATAATACACAATTTGTCTATACACATTTGTCTTTTGGGACACACTTTTTTTTTTCTTTTTCCTAAAAGATAAACTGATGTTTTTGTTAAATAGTTACTCAAATGCACGGCGCATGTGTTTTAAATAAGCATATTTGAATTGTGTAATTTTACACGTTTCTACTTTCGTAAAAAATTTAGTTTACTTTCTATAAACTTCTATAAACTTTTGCGACAAAGTCGCAAAGTTATTCTATAAACTTTTGCGACAGAGTATATTGACTGTAATTTTGCATAAGCAAAAATTTATAGTAATGTGTGCTGCTTATTTCATTACTTCACATGAACATTTACATGTATATTTTCATATATACAGTGTTCACATAAATTTTCACATTCTCGTAACTCTCATTAAACTTTAATTTTATCATAATAAAAATAAACGGGATTATATGTTTAAGGATTTACATTAGAATTTAAAATTATGCCATTATTATAGCTTGAATTGAAA